CACAACTATCAAAGTATATTTTTGTACATTTATCTTGTGAGAAGATATTAATTCCTCCACATCATCAATTAGAAACCAAGACTATTGTAGTCTCCAATACAAGATAAATTGTAGCTAGGTACATGTGATTGAAACTGCTTATAATTAATTAGTTGATGTTTAGAGTTCCAAAAGAAATTCAATGTAACAAATGTAAAGAGCACTCCTAATAAATACTACTATATAATTATCCTTTAAGCACATATTGTAATTTAGGGATTCTTGGAGTTACAAGAGTGGCTTCTCACATTTCTTTAAATATTTATTTATTGTGATTATTGAATAAGTTATTTTTCCACTTTTAGTATTTAGTGTAATATAATATAATGACTATTCAAATACATTTTATACTGCAACATATGAATCTGATCTATAATTATACATGAAAGGTAACTTTTCAACTTACTTGTTCATTGTTTCAAATTAATTAAGGAAATCAATGCATTGATTTTGAAAGAATACATTACACCTTCATTTGAATCTAGTCCATATAATTGAACCATACAAAGTAACCCTTCATATTGTTAACCTTTTGAGAGTAACTAAGAAAATTAATGCATAGTATTTTAAAAGAATGAATTATATTAATTTAATTTAACACCTTCTCAGTTTTAGTATTTAGTATAATATAATATGATTAGCTACTTAATATTTAATTAATTAAATATTTTATAATATTATGATTGAATGTAGGGGTAAAATGGTAATCCAACTTTGTACTTTGAGTTTTCCACTTTTAGTAATATATATAAAATAAAAAATAATATAATAATAATATAAGATATGAATGATATGATATGATGATGCTATGTACATTGCTTTATCTATCACAACATTTCAAATTCTTCCATTATGAGAATTATGATTATGATTAAAAACAATATCAATGTACTCATTTATCAAGAAAATAATAATTTAATTATTAAAGGGCTTAAGGACTTAAATTCTACCATTATGTAATTAAAATATTTGTATTTAATTAAATAATTAATCAAATTTTAATTTAGTAAAAGGGTAAAATGGTAATTCAACTTTTCACTTTGGAGTTTCCCACTTATAATAATATATGATTTACATACTTCAAATACAACTCTTTGACTTTTCTGAGGCATGACATACTAATTACTTAAGTGAACTTGATTTGGATTTCAAAAGATACGCGTTTTCATGAGGTCAAATACTACTATATTAAGATATTTAAATTAACTAAGAGAAGTGGAAAAAGCTTAGTTGATTTTCTTTCCGAATAAATGTAATATTTTCTAATAATATAGTATAATATAATATAATATACTGAAAAGTGAAAAGGCTACCATTAGTAAATAGAATAAGATAAAATTTATAAAGAAGATAAAAAGACTACATGTATAAGAAGATTAAAAATTATTTCAATTAAGTAGTAGGCTAACATTAAAACATATAAATTATTATATTTAATAGCAGGATTTACTTTATAATAAATGACTATTATTTTTTTATTTAATAAAGTATATATTTTATTATATTTTAATTTGGTGTAGGAGTAAAATGGTATTTCAACTTTTAACTTTGTGGCTTCCCACTTTTAGTATAATATGATTATGCGAAACCTTTTATTTTAATAAGTGATATAGATGAGGTGCTTTTTAAAGCGGCGTAATATTTTTGAAATTAAAAATATTAAAGTTAGAGTGTCTATTTTAGAAAAAAAGAAGGGGAAATTTGTTGATGTGTTAAAATGAAATAGGCAGACAACGCTAATGACTTTAGTTAATTAGAAGATATTAATTGATATCAACTAGTCACCGTCTCAAATTTTTAATGCTTATAACAGGTAAGATTCTTAATTATTTTTATTTTTATTTTAATATTTAAATATAGATAAGAAAATAGTATTATAAGGCAATTTGGAAGATTGGTTTTTGAAAGAAAATGGAGTAGGAGATGATGATGATTTTACCTTGGAAATGAATATTCTGATCGGAAAACTATCCGGAATCAAAAAAATCAACAGCAGCAAAAATGAGCGGCTTGTTTCCCTTTGGAGACTTTTTCTTTTTTCTAATATAATTTTTAACATTGGGAATAGATATATTCTTCCATATTTGTTGGAAAAGAAAGGGAGCGAAAGTGGAGATATGAAAACTTAGGAGAGTCTTTTTTATGTCCCAAGTAGGGCACATGGATTAACAATTGTAGTTTAAATGCATTAGTATAGTTGTTTGTTTTGTTAAGATCTTTAAGTCCAGATAGGATAGAATCTTTCTTGTCCTAAGATGTAAAAGGAGGTTAGGCTTTATGTCTCCCTCTATTTGGTTGTTAATATCATTAAGTTAAAAAAAAAGGGAAAGGCTCAAATATGCCATCGAACTTTCAGAAAAGGATAATTTATGCCATCCGTTAAAAGTTTGGCTCATCTATGCCATTACCGTTTAAGAAAAGGCTCATTCATGCCATTATTTTTTAACGGTGATTTTGCAAAACCATTTTTTGCACGTGGCCAATTATAATTCGGCCACGTCATTATTATCTTTTATAATAAAAAATCAAAATTCATGAACAAACATTGAATTAAAATAACTCACCCAAATTTAAACCCCTATAGCCCATCAATAACCCAATTTTCATTCACTTTTAATCTAAAAACCCTAACTAAAAAAAGAAGTTGCTTTCACTTCTATAAGGATGACCAACTCCTTCTCCTTCTCCGACGAATTTACTGATCTTTCTTCAATCTTGTTTATGAAGATTAAAGAGGTTAGTTTACATATTACTACTGAATATTTATTTAATGTGGTTGGTAGAGGATTTCAAGAAAGTGTACATATGGGGTTCTAAATCATGTGGGTTTGTTATTTTTGTATTTGTAAATGTATTGTTTAATAGGTAATAGGTAATGTTTTTGACTTTTAATGGTCTTTGTTTGTTTCTTTTTGTTGTGGTCCCATATTGTCAAATTTAGGTATTTTTTATGATTGTTCTGTAAATGGTTTAACACTATTTTATAGTTAAAGCTCTCAACTCTTAATGATCTTGTTTGTTTCTTTTTGTTGTGGCCCCGAATAGTATTTAGATGTTAGATTTGGGGGTTTTTATGTGACAATAATATAAAGGGAATCATTGTTTATTAGTTAGAATTTGTCTTTTAATGATGTTATTTGTTCCTTTTTGTTGTGGTTTCGAAGTGTATTCTCTACAAAACTTTTACACTATACTATTCAGTTTCTCGCATTCCTTTAATATTTCTCCCTTTGCCCTCCATCAAGTAATTTGACATGAATCATAGACAAGTTGCTTAGCTACTTTAATTTGAAGACTTGTTTCTTGTTCTTCAATTTATGTTATTATGGATAGTTTAATCATCATATTGGTTATATTTTTATTGTTGTATGTTGCTGGTCCCTCATTTATTCAATTGTCTTTTTTAACATGTGTACATTACTGAAGAATGATTGCTAAAGTAACAATACTTTTTCACTATGGGGTGAATGGGTCTTTTCTCCCCAATTATTGTACACTAAGAAGTTGATGCAAATGTGGCATGAATTTGATCCATACTTGTTGTCTTACAAAGACTTGTGTGAAGAATTTAAAAAAGGAGCTTGGTTATTTTAAAGTGAAACAACTCTTAGTTGTTGGACCATCTGGTAGATAATACATAGTTGAAGGTGATGATGGTATTTGGGCTTTACAATGTCTGATGTGTCATGAGTTTAAGAACATTGACTTATTTGCTATAGATGATACGGTGATACTCATAACATTCTTCATCATTTAGAGAGATATCATGTAGATGTTGAAGCTGCATCAAATAATGAACATGTACCAGAGAGATTATGATTGTGAGGTTGATACTCCTTCTGATGTGGAGTATTATGATGAAGAAAGGCTTCAGTTGTTTGAGAAACAAAGAAACAGTACTGTAAGTGATAAATTGGAGCACTACAAGGAATTAGAGAAGGGGATGTCATTTGCCACCATTGAGGAAGCTAGAAAGATAATGAACTACTATGCTATAGCTAGTAGACGTGGATTGAAGATTGAAAAAACTGATCGTAGCAGGGCTAGGTATGTTTGTCAAGTTGGATGCCCTATTAAATGTAATATTTCACAGGATAAAAAAGGGGCTTCTGGATTTAGTATAAAAATTTTGATAAGTGAACATACTTGTTTTCCATGCTACAAAAATTCGAGGGCTGATTCGACGACATTAGCTCAATACTTCAAAAGTAAATTAATGAGAAATCCTAAGTACACTGTGAAGGAAATGAAAGAAGAATTATCAACTGATTTTGATTTGAATGTTACAAAATTCAAGCTAAAGAGGACTAAGGTGATAATCCTTGAAAAACTAGACGGGAGTTTCAAGGATGACTTTAACAAACTTGAAGCATATGGAGCTAAATTAAAAAAGTCTAATCCAGGAACTGATGTTGAAATAAACATCTCAAAAGATGCTTTTGAGCAAGGTATAAGAAAGTTCTTGAGGATGTACATATGTTTTAATGCCTTGAAGGTAGGTTGGAAAAGTGGATTAAGACCACTCATTGGTTTGGATGGTACTTTCTTGAAGGATAGGATCAAAGGTCAATTGTTGGTTGCTGTGGGACAAGATTCTATGAATCAATTCTATCCAATTTCTTGGGCAGTGGTTGACAAAGAAACTACCAGGACATGGTCATGGTTTGTGGAGCTTTTGAAGAGGTCTTTGGACCTTAAAGATGAAAGTGGAGTGACTTTTATTTCTGACATGCAAAAGGTTTATCATTTTTTAAACATTTTTCATTATATTTTTTTGACATATTTTTTGTTTTAATCGTGAACTCTACTTCATTTCTATCTTCTTTTTAATCTTACAGGGGTTACTAGATGTTGTGAGCAATGTACTTCCTGATTTTGTGTAAGACACATTGAATCTAATTGGCTAAAAAAGTGGAGGAGCGGGGAAATGAAAAAGTTGATGTGGTGGTGTGCTTCTTGGAGCACATATGATGAAGAGTTCAAAGATCAACTCAACAAGCTAGGCAAATTGGATGCAGATGCTGCTAAGGACTTGATTAGTAAACCACCTCGGGCATGGTGTAGGGCCTACTTTGACACACAGTGTAAGAACACAAAGGTTGACAATAACTTCACAGAATCCTTCAATGCTTGGATTTTAGAAGCAAGAGGTATGCCAATTATCAAAATGTTGGAGGAAATAAGGATTAAGGTTATGACTAGGTTGGCTGAAAATGAAGACAAAGTTAGGCATTGGAAAACTGAATACAGTCCACAATGCATGAAGTTGTACAGTGATTATAGGGCAATAGCACATGGATGCACTATGAACTTTAATGGTGATTATGGTTATGAAGTGTCTAAAGGTGATGATAGGCATACTGTGAACTTAGAGCATATTAGATGCACCTGCAGATTGTGGGACTTGTCTGGAATTCCCTGCCCTCATGCCATTAATGCATTTATGCATAAGAAAGTTGTTCCAGAGATACAAATTCACTGGTTTTACAGTAAAGAAGCCTATTTGCTGACATACAAGCATAAAATACAACCTGTTAGAGGAATACAACTTTGGAATGTTGATCCTGCTCATGCAATGGAACCACCTGATATGATCAAAACGATTGGAAGACCCAAGAAAAAAAAAAAGAGAATAATAGTTGAAGCAAGAAAAAGAAAAGGTGAATGGAGTTCATCAAGAAAAGGTTCTATAATGACATGTAGTAATTGTGGGAAACAAAATCACAACGCAAGAGGTTGTTATAAGGTATATTTTTAACATATTCTCTTATTTTAGGTAAATTTTTAACTTGCATTAATTGTGTATTTTTGGAGATTGCAATAGTTGGAACTATTTTTAGTTGAATAAAAATAGTTGAATAGTTGTTAAGACTGTTTTTAGTTGTGCATTTTTTTAGACTTCAATTTTGAATATTTGAAAACTGAAACTGTTTCAGTTGTTGGGACTGCTATGGCTTTGTATCTCCTTAGACTGCAATAGTTAGAAACATGAGTGAATATTATTTTGTTTGATAGGCAAAAGGGGCTGACCAAATTTCAAAGAAAAAATTGGTGAGACATCAACTGGAACACAACAATCTGGCCATGCCTAAAAAAGCAACAGTTATGAGCCTGAATTTGGTACGCAACCATCTCAACAATCTGCCTTTCAAACTCAATTTGATACTCAACAATCAACAGCTTATGGACCTGATATTGGTGATGATGAAGACCCAATATTGAGGCCAAAAACCGTCTCTGAAGCTGATACATTATTGGCCATGAGAAAGAGCATAATGACGTCATCAACTGGTGGTAGAAGAATTCAATTCACCGGAGATGCAACTGGGGTGTCAACTCCAACAAACTTGCCTTATTCACCAACAAAGATAACTTGGCGAGGAAAGGAAGCTATTACATGCAATCAGTTACTAAATGAAGCGAGGAAAAAACGTATCAAGATGATGGCAAGAAAAGGGCAAGGAGAACCAGCCCCCGATTCTTCTGAAATATGAAAGTTGTTTTGTTTTTCTTTTGTGATGCGTAGACATTTTAAAGGTTAAACCTTTTATTTTGTGATGCCTAGACATTATAAAGGTTAAAGCGGTTGACATGTGCTTTTTGTTTTTACAATTAGTTTAATCTTAAAATGACAATTACCTATTTTGTAATACGTATCAAGATTATGGTGCTTTCTAATCTCATTTTGATATGCTTCTCTAGCAATTCTCTAGCAAAGTTGTTTATTTTGGGCACTGTTTTTAAAACCATGATGTAAGATGTCGTTTAAACACTCTGCGATAGGGCGTGATATGGGTAGAGTTATTCCCTTGTGATTAAGGGAGGGATGGACAAGCTTTTGCGATCGACCAAGATAATTGGAGCGACTGAGTAGTTCACGAAATTTTGAGAGTCAAACAATATAAATTTCAACCAACATTTTAAGATGTATTTTTCATCATATTTGATATGAAGAAGGTTGCAAGTTGTAATACTTTCCGTATAGTTTTTGGCGCAACATGACAACTAAAAAGTATGTTGATAGTAGTAATAGAAAACAAGTAATTCGTTCGTCCAACCTGACTTTCATTTATGATAAACACTGAAATGCAACACAAAAAAAGAAAATAGATTACTACACATAATCCCTATGGCATGTTTGACTCAAGCAGCCATGAATTTGTAACTGAATACTCTTTCACTGCTACTTTCAGATGTAATAGGCATCACTGTTAAATTGTGGTGAAAGGACGAAACCACCATCGTAGGATGAGTAACAATAGCTTTGCAATCTCCTTGGAAAAGTGAAGTCTTGAAATAACCCTCAGCATTTGTAGTCCCAACCAAATCCTCATGTGTTAATGACACATGAATTTTGTCAACAACATCTCCAGTAGCTAGATTCTTGAAGTTGTAATCAGTCAAACACATTTTATAACATCCATTTGGTGTCCATTGCTCGGTGTCCACGCCGTACGTGAATAGACTAACTTCAAGTCCACAATAACACCTCCTGTTTGAACTAGAAGAGACATTCGACCCCTCAGACATTGTTAGAAAATAAATTAATTGAAGAAAGATCAGTAAATTCGTCGGAGAAGGAGAAGGAGTTGGTCGTCCTTATAGAAGTGAAAGAAACTTCTTTTCTAAGTTAGGGTTATTAGATTAAAAGTGAATGAAAATTGGGTTACTGATGGGTTATAGGGATTTAAATTTGGGTGGGTTATTTTAATTCAATGTTTGTTCATGAATTTTGATTTTTTATTATAAAAAATAATAATGACGTGGCCGAATTATAATTGGCCACGTGTAAAAAATGGTTTTGCAAAATCACCGTTAAAAAATAATGGCATGAATGAGCCTTTTCTTAAACGGTAATGGCATAGATGAGCCAAACTTTTAATGGGTGGCATAAATGAGTCTTTTCTGAAAGTTCAATGGCATATTTGAGCCTTTTCCCAAAAAAAAAAAAAGCGAGGGCACATGGATGATGTCATAATTAGTGGTTATACCACTAATTTTTCAAGACTTACGACTTAACTAAGTCTTGAGAATGGTTATTTTCCCAACTCTCCCCTGTCTCCATCCCCACAATCTCACTTCATCACTTTTTCTCATTTTCCTTACCCTTTTCCTTTTTCCAACCTCTTCTACTCTTTCCATTGAAGTAAAAAATGTTGGCATGATTTTTGGTTGTTCACAATCTCGTCGTAGTTTGGAGTTGATTTTGAGTTCTGTTGGATTGGGATTATGGTGGTGACCAGTGGCACTAAGGAAGAGTATTGAGGGTCTATTGGGTGGTCTGGTTGTTTCTAGTTGTTCACAACTAGCGGCGTTGTGAAAGTCAAGACTGGAATTAGTTTGGGGTTTTTGTTGTTGTTGTTGATTCCCGTTGTAAGAGAAAAGAAAGAACCCTTGCAGAAACAAAAATAACGATTCTTTTTTAAAAAGGGTTATGGTTGTAACAATCATTAAAACTACATTATAAAATAATTTTAAGTTAGGTTTTTTTTAAAAAAAAAAACACATCCATTCGATTTAGGGTTGTTTATGTACAATTTTTTAAAAATAATAAAATATATTAGTAATTCAACTTTTATCTATATAGATATAGTAATATATGAGTACTTGATAATTTAATTTTTGGAACACTGTACGTGTCATCATTTTATTTGTTTATTTGACATGTAATAATAAGTGGATTAGAGTAAATTATCTCACATATTGCATATACTCTACTCAACTTAATTTTGTATAAACTCTATTCATATGCATGCCCAATCATCCCAACATAATGTCAGATATAAACGGCTATTCTTAGGCTTCTCCTTCTTTTATGTTACAACATTGTACTGGTTCTCATTTCTTTCTATTTTAACATCCAATTTCCATAACATATATACAAATCTTTTTTTTTTTACGTTAAAATGTATTTTGAAGAAGAATAAAACAACTTTTTTAAAAAAAATTAAGCAAAAAAATAGAGAAGAAAATGTTATTACCGGTACTATCAATTTCCATTTGGGAAAATAAAAACAAAAGGCTTCTTACAGAAGAGATCTTTGTAAACGCTTTTGGAAATCACCATATCAGATATGAATGAATTCGAGATTTTGATTACTTGAAAGTTACATTATCTTCAATCCTTTTGGTTCGTGCTTCGTTCTTTTACATAATTCTCTGTTTTAATTCTATCTCTCATATGCTTGCGACATTGCTGAAGAAATCGGAATTTTGGTCCATCAACACGTTCATCTTTATGTGATGAGCGTTAAAAGGACACAGATTCGATAAATGATTTAATCTCAATCAAAAAGAGATCTGTTTTTATAAAAAAAAAATCCTATTTTTCATTGTTGTACAATATCAAACTTGTGATCTGATGTATAGAATTTGGCTGCATGACGTCGTTACTGAATCAATTTTTTTTTATTTTCAGGTTCTTTGGTTGAAATTTTAATAATGTCGACAAAGCCGACACCTTTAGAGTTACCTGAGGTCAATTTTACTCTGTATCGTATTCCCAATTTTTACTTGACATTTATAGTTCATCATATGCAGAAATTCTTATATAAGTTTGAAGATATAAAACAGTTATTTCTATTTAAATGGAGAAACATGCTCTAAGCGGATTCATATAGTTAATCTCAATTATTTTGGCATTGAGACGTAGTAATAGTGATTGTTGTTTATTTCTGTTGAAAAAAAAATCAGCTCTGGTTCAACTTCATTTCAACAAAAGTGGATCTTTAAAATACAATAGGTTTACAAAAACAACAGGTGATTCTTCCCATCTGTCCTAGTTTTGGTGGACAAATTTACCTGGTACTTGTTGCTGGTGGACGCCATGGTCATCAGAAAAAGGAAAATGCAATATGTTTAAATATTGTATAAACTTCATGTATGATGATGATCGATTGTTCGTCTTCTAATTTTAATGCTAAGTGTGAAGTTTTTTGTAAATTCCATAAGATTTGGTTAAAGTGTTATTGTGGTGTTAAGTACATTTTTTCAATGTATATTTGCAGATGAGCACGATGTCGTTAGAAGAAACATTTCATCCGAGTAAAGTTAGGGAAAGCACAGAGAGTAGCTCGAGTAGTACTACACCCCTGAAGCCACACACTGGTGGTGATGTTCGATGGGATGCGATTAATTCTGCTACTGGTAGAGGTGGACCTCCTCTTAATCTAAGCAATTTTCGGTTATTGAAACGTCTTGGATATGGGGATATTGGAAGTGTGTACCTTGTGGAACTCAGGGGAACAAATGCCTTCTTTGCAATGAAAGTGATGGATAAAGGATCTCTTGCAAGTCGAAATAAATTACTCAGAGCACAAACAGAACGCGAGATTCTTAGTCTACTTGACCACCCATTCTTGCCAACCTTATATTCTCATTTCGAGACTGACAAGTTTTATTGCTTAGTCATGGAGTTCTGCAGTGGAGGTAACCTCCATACGCTCCGTCAAAAACAGCCCAATAAGCACTTCACTGAGGAGGCGTCTAGGTTAGTACCTTTACGATCTTTACCCTACTCGATGCTTAAACATTTCACAAGTATTACTACTAGTATAATTCATCCTGTTTATTTGTATACTCTTATCTCTCAAATGGGCTGATATAATTATTACAGATTTTACGCATCAGAGGTGTTGTTGGCACTTGAGTATCTGCATATGCTAGGAATTGTTTACAGGGATCTTAAGCCAGAAAATGTACTAGTGAGAGATGAGGGTCATATAATGCTGTCTGATTTCGACTTATCTCTCCGTTGTTCTGTCAATCCAACGCTTGTTAAGTCTTCATCTGTACATGGAGGAGGAGGAAATCCTAGCAGTGGATCCGGCATTTTAGACAATGACAATGCAGTCCAAGGTTGTATTCAGCCCTCGACTTTTTTCCCTCGTAACATTCTCCCTACCAAAAAGAATCGCAAGTCTAAATCAGATTTCGGGCTTTTTGTGGGAGGATCACTCCCTGAGCTTATGGCAGAGCCGACTAATGTGCGCTCCATGTCCTTTGTTGGCACTCATGAGTACTTAGCCCCTGAGATAATTCGCGGAGAGGGGCATGGTAGTGCAGTTGATTGGTGGACTTTTGGCATATTCTTGTATGAACTTCTGCATGGGACAACACCTTTTAAAGGTGCTGGAAATCGCGCCACGCTCTTCAATGTTGTAGGACAGCCTTTGAGATTCCCAGAAACTCCGCAAGTGAGTGCTATTGCACGTGATCTTATACGAGGCCTCCTCGTGAAGGAACCACACAAGAGAATTGCATATAAGAGAGGTGCTACTGAGATAAAACAGCACCCCTTCTTTGAGGGCGTTAATTGGGCTTTGGTGAGAAGTGCTGTTCCTCCCTCTATACCTGAACCTGTCGACTTTGCTCAGTACGCTAGTAAAGAAGCATCAGCTCCTTGTTCAGATAAGAAGATGCCAGATACCGAAATTCATGATAAAAGCAAAAACACTTCAAATGATTCTTCATATATCGACTTTGAGTACTTCTA